GTACCATGTATTCTTTCATCTGTCGATAGACACTTAGATTATTGCTGTGTTCTGAGTATTGTACATAGTACCGCAGTGAACACTGTGTCTTTCTGAATTATGGTTTTCTAAGGGTTTACTCCCTGTAGTGGGACTGCTGGGTCAAATGATAGTTCTACTTTTACTTTTTTTTTAAGGGCCTTCCTTCTTTTTTTCCATAGTGGCTGTATCAGTTTACATTCCTACCAAAACTACAAGAGGGTTCTGTTTTCTCCACACCTATTTGTAGACTTTATGATAATGGTCATTCTGACCCATATGAGGGATACTTCACTGTAGTTTTGATTTGCCTTTCTCTAATAATTAGTGATGTTGAGCATCTTTTCATGTGCCTCTTGGCCATCTGTATGTCTTCTTTGGCACATGTGTGTGTTTAGTCATGTCCAACTCTTTGCAACCACATGGATTACAGCCCACAGGTTTCTCTATCCATGGAATTTTCCAGGCAAGCATATGGGAAGTGGGTTGCCATTTCTTCCTCTAGGGGATCTTCACGACCCAGGGACTGAACCCATATCTCTTGCATTGGCAGGCAGATTCCTTACCATTGCACCACTTTTGGGGAAGCCCATGTCTTCTTTGGAGAAAAGTCTATTTAGGTCCTCCACCCTTGTTTTGATTAGGTTATTTGTTTTATACTGAGCTGCATGAGCTCTTCATGTATTTTGGAGATGAATCCCTTGTCAGTTCCTTCATTTGCAAATATTTTCTCCCATTCTGAGGGTTATCTTTTTTTCTTGTTTGTAATTTCCATAAAGTTTAATTTGGTCACACTTGTCTTTTGTTTTTACTTTCATTACTCTAGGAGGTTGGTCAAAAAATACCTTGATGTGGTTTATGTTAGAAACTGCTCTACCTATATTTTTCTCTACCAATTTTATAACAGCTAACCTTACATTTAGGCCTTTAAACCATGTTGAGTTTACTTTTGTTTGTGGTGTTAGGGAGTTCATTCTTTTACATGTATCTATCTAGTTGTGTGGTTTTTTGTTTGTTTGTTTGCTTGTTTTTTTTTTTTTTTAGCATTTAAGAGATTGTCTTTTCTCCATTGAATGTTTCTACTTCCTCTGTCCTAAATTTGGTGACCACAAGTGCACAGGTTTATCTCTGGGCTTTCAATCCTGTTTCATTTACATTTGTTCTGTGATAATGCCAATATGGACTTGATTACTGTTGATTTGTAGTATAGTCTGAAGTCAGAGAGCTTCATTTCTCCAGCTCCAGTTTTCTTATTTGAGGTCTTTTGTATTTCCATACAAATTAAAAAATTTGTTGTTCTGTGAAAACTTCAAGTGGTAATTTGATAGGGATTGTGTTGAATCTTTAGATTGCTTTGGGTAGTATAGTAATTTTGACTATACTGATTTTTCCAAGAAGATGGTATAATCTCTCCATCTATTTGTGTCATCTTTGATTTCTTTCATCACTTTTTTTTTAATGGTTTTCTGAGTCCAGGTCTTTTGCTTTCTTGAGTGAGTGAAGTTGCTCAGTTGTGTCTGAGTCTTTGTGACCCCATGGACTGTAGCCTACCAGGCTCCTGAGTCCATGGGATTTTCCAGGCAAGAGTACTGGAGTGGGTTGCCATTTCCTTCTCCAGGGGAGCTTCCTGACCCAGGGATTGAACCCCGGTCATCCGCATTGCAGGCAGACGCTTTACCATCTGAGTCACCAGGGAAACCCTTTGCTTCCTTAGAGAGCTGTATTCCTACATATTTTATTCTTTTCTGGGGATGATACATTGGATTATTTCCATAATTTTGCTTTCTGATCTTTCATTCTCATTGTATAGGAAAACAGGAGATTTCTTTGCATTTCGTACCCTACAACTTTACCAAACTCATTGATTAGCTCTGGTAATTTTCTGGTAACATGTTGAGGATTTTATACATATAGTATGTCATCTGGAAAAAAGTGAGTTCTACTACTTTTCCAATTTGGATTCATTTCTTTTACTTGATTGCTTTGGCTAGGACTTCTAAAACGATGTTGAATTAGAGTGGTGAGAGTGGACATCCTTATCTTCTTCCTGATATTAGAGGAAATATTTTCAGTATCTCACCATTGAGAATGATGTTTGCTGTAGGTTGGTTTGGTCTATGGCCTTTATTATGCTGAGGTAGTATCCCTCTTTGGCCATTTTCTGGAGAGATTTTTTAAAAATCATAAATGCTGTTAAATTTTATCAAAAGCTTTTACTTCATCTATTTAATTTTTTAATATAGTGTAGCCCATTGATTTGTGTGTATTGTGAAGAATCCTTGCATTTCTGAAATAAATCTCACTTGATCATGGTGTGTGATCCTTTGAATGTATTATTGGATTCTGTTTGCCAGTATTTTGCTGAATATTTTTTTATCCATGTTCATCAGTGATATGTTCATCAGTGACATTGATGTCATTTACTTTTTTCTGTGATATCTTTGTCTGGTTTTGGTATCAGAGTGATGTCAGCCTTGTAGAATGAATTTGGTAGTGTGCCTCCCTCTGCAGTTTTTGGAAAGACTTTGAGAACAAGTGTTAACTCTTCTCTAAATGTTTGGTAGAATTTGCCTGTGAAACCATCTGTTACTTGACTTTTGTGTGTTGGAAGACTTTTTAACTATACTTTCAATTTCATTACTTGTGATTGGTCTGTTTCCCAATCTGGGAAAATCCTAACCTGGTTCAGTCATAAAGGGTTTAAATCATAAAGGTTTATGCTTTTCCAAGAATTTGTCCATTTCTTCCAGATTGTTGATTTTATTGGCATATAGTTGCTTGTAACAGTCTCTTATGATCCTTTGCATTTCTGCAGTGTCAGTAGTAATTTATCCTTTTTCATTTCCAATTTTCTTGATTTGAATCCTCTCCTCCTTTTTCTTGATCAGTATGGCTAAAGGTTTATCAGTTTTATTTATCTTCTCAAAGAATCAACTTTTATTGATCCTTGATGTTGGTTTCTTCATTTCTATTTCATTTCTGCTCTGAACTTTGATTTCTTTCCTTCTACTGACTTTGGGTTTTGTTGTTCTTTTTCTAGTTGCGGTATGAAGTTAGATTATTTGAGATTTTTGTTTCTTGAAGTGAGATGGAATTATTATAAACTTCTGTCTTAGAACTTTTTTTTGCTCCATCACTTAGGTTTTGTATCATTGAGTTTTTATTTTATTTCTGTGTATTTTTTATTTCCTCTTTGATTTCTTGGTAATCTCTTGGTTATTTAGCAATGCAGTGTTCAGCCTCCATATTTGTGTTTTTTAGTTTTCCTGTAACTTGATTTCTAATCTCATAGCATTGTGGTCAGAAAAGTTGCTTGATAAAATTTCGATTTTCTTAAATTTTCTGGGGCTTGATTTGGGACCGAAGATGTGATTTTATTCTGGAGAATGTTTCATGTGCACTTAAGAAAGTGTACTCTGCCACTTTCAAGTGGAGTGTCCTGTAAATATAAATTAAATATACCTGGTCTGTTGTGTCATTTAAAACTGTATTATTTCTTGTATGGATCATCTGTCCATTGGTGTAAGTGGGGTGTTAAAGTCTCCCACTATTATTGTGTTCCTGCCAACTTCCCCTTTTATGGTTGTTAGCATTTACTTTGTGTTTTGAGATGCTCCTAATTGTTGTATCTTTCTTGGAGTGCTCCCTTGATCACTGTGTAGTGTACTTAGTTATCTAACACTCTTTAAAGTCTGTTTTATCTGATAGGAGTATTGCTATGCCAGCTTTCTTTTTGATTTGTGTTTGAATGGAGTATCTTTTTCCATCCTCTGATTATCAATCTGTATGTGTTCCTAGGTCTATAGAGGGTCTCTTGTAGATGGCATATATACAGGTCTATTTTTGCATCCATTCTGCCAGTTTGTATACCTGATTAGTATTTTGTGGGGAAATACTTAAGAGATTATGCCAGTATTCTGTCCTTCATTAAGCTTCTACATACAAAGTAGTAGACTGTGTAAGTAGACTTAATGAATGACCCACCTGTATGATGGCTGCCAGTGGTGTTTTTATCTATTGCCATTATTCTTACTACATGTATTAGTTGGCACTGTATAAAGAAAAGCTTTTTTCCCCCTTCCTTTATGTATTTACTTATATCAGTATGAACGAATGTTCAGACTGTCTCAGATTTGGCCAAGGAAACCTGTCCAAGGTGGTTCTTTTGCCCTTTTGACATATCTGCATAATTATTTGAACAATTTCTTATTGCTTAATAGATAAGACCATACTGCTATTTCTCCCATGACTGACTTAGAATAGGGCATTACTCCAGAGATGGGATCCATTTTTGACGGTAGGGTTCAGTTCAGTTGCCCAGTCGTGTCTGACTCTTTGCGACCCCGTGAATCGCAGCATGCCAGGCCTCCCTGTCCATCACAAACTCCCCGAGTTTACTCAAACTCATGCCCATCAAGTTGGTAATGCCATCCAGCCATCTCATCCTCTGTCATCCCCTTCTCCTCCTGCCCCCAGTCCCTCCCAGCATCAGGGTCTTTTCCAATGAGTCAACTCTTCACATGAGGTGGCCAAAGTATTGGAGTTTCAGCTTCAGCATCAGTCTTTCCAATGAACACCTAGGACTGATCTCCTTCAGGATGGACTGGTTGGATCTCCTTGCAGTCCAAGGGACTCTCAAGAGTCTTCTCCAACATCACAGTTCAAAAGCATCAATTTTTCGGTGCTAAGCTTTCTTCACAGCCCAACTCTCACATCCATACATGACTACTGGGAAAACCATAGCCTTTTGACCAGACAGACCTTTGTTGGCAAAGTAATGTCTCTGCTTTTTAATATGCTATCTAGGTTGGTCATAACTTTTCTTTCAAGGAGTGTCTTTTAATTTCATGGGATGGTAGGATAGTATTTAGTAATTAATAACTTGGTACTTGGTGTGCTCAGTCCTACTGAGGTGTCATTATGTTCAGGCCTTCTCAGCTGACAGATCCATAAAACAAAGACACACACACATAACCACTAATATAACTATTTCAGTGTATTTAAAATGAGTTATAGTCCAGTCCAACCCTCCAAGACATTTTCTAGCTTCTCCTGTTTCCATTTTAACAGACACCTTTCCCAACAACAGTGAGAAATCTGACTTTCAGTATCCTTCACATATTTACTTACCTGCCCAGTGTTACCAACACATCAGCCATGCTGTCTTTTTCACCTGCACTCAGCACTCTTGATGCAGGTGGACAGAACACCTTTCTCACCCCGCCCCCACCATGGCAGACCTGTGGGGAGGCCTGTAGGAGGACAAGCAGACATTTGAATTCCTTACAACCATTGATTCCAGTTCACATCTAATACTCTAAATTGGAAGGAACAGCACACTGAGCATTGGGCCACACTGTATAAATGCTGTGTCTAAATGCAGGCATTCTTCAAATTTCACTGATTATGATTAGATTTAACCTAGAGCTTCTGCCCATTTAAAACAGAAGTATTTTTCTGGTAATTACTGTCTGATGTCCACTGAGATGCTACTTCAAACATTTCATGCAACTCCAATAAAATTATCACCTCAAAGTAAATGCTTTTCTATAATTTCTTATAGTTGGTGCATTTTCTCTGGCCTGTGGATGAAGTCTTTTCTACAAATACTGGTAAGAGTGTTTACCTTGATTTCTCTGATATTTACTGAGGTGTGGTTTTGGGCAGAATGTTCCCTGTATTCATTCACCAATAGGTCTTCTCTATCTGAGCTTAACTCCAGCAGAAAATCTGATTTTTCTATGTCCTTAATATCTTCACATTATTTTCTCCCCTCAGTAAGTTCTCTGATGTGTTTTAAGAACTGATTTTAGACCAAAGGTGTTCTCGAAATCTTAACAGATTTTTCTCCCAACTTGGTGTTCTTTGTTCCATAAACCGTTGACTTCACCCAGAGTGATTTCCCTCATTTATTATAGCTATAGGGTTTCTTCCCAAATGTATTCTCTGATGTACAGTAAGTTTTGACTTCACATAAAATGACTTTCTGCAAACGCTACATTCATAGGGTTTCTCCCCTGTGTGTGTTCTGTGATGTGCAATGAGTTTTGACTTCACACAGAATGATTTTCCACATTCATTACATTCATAGGGTTTCTGTCTTACATGAGTTCTCTGATGAACAATTAGAGCTGACTTCTGACGGAAATTTTTCCCACATTCATTACATCCAAAAGGTTTCTCTCCTGTGTGTCTCCTCTGATGTTCTGTGAAACCTGAGTAATAGCAGAAAAATTTTCCACATTCAGTACATTCATAGGGCTTCTCACCTGTATGAGTTCTCAAATGTTTAGTGAGAGTTGACTTCTCAGAGAAAGATTTCCCACATTCACTACATTCATAAGGTTTTTCTCCTGTGTGAGTTCTTTGATGTTTAATGAGGTCTGATTTTCTTAGGAAGGCCTTCCCACATTCATAACATTCATAGGGCTTCTCCCCTGTGTGTGTCTTCTGATGTACAGTAAGAACTGACTTAAATGAGAAGGCCTTCCCACATTCATGACATTCATATGGTTTCTCCCCTGTGTGTGTTCTATGGTGTTGGGTGAGGGTTGACTTTTCACTGAAGGATTTCCCACATTCGTGACATTCATAAGGTTTCTCCCCTGTATGAATTCTCTGATGTTTAATGAGGTCTGAATTCTTGTAGAAACTTTTCCCACATTCATGACATTCATAGGATTTCTCCCCTGTGTGGGTTCTCTGATGTCTTATGTGGGCTGACTTCTGGTTGAATGTTTTTCCACATTCATGACATTCATAGGGTTTCTCTCCTGTGTGCATGCTCTGTTGTGCACCAAAGACTAAGTTTTCATTGAAAAAGGTTCCATATTCATTATATTCAATTATACTGTCAACTGAGTGGGTCCTTTGAATTGGAGTCAGGTCTGACTTTTGGCTCAAAGGGTGAACACTGTGTTCAAAGAGAATGGAGTCCTCAAAGAAAGTTTCTCCACATTCATTAAATTTGTAGTGATTCTCTTTTGGATGTGTTCTTTGAGCAATGAAAGGTGACATATCACAGGTTTTTCTGTATTCAGTGTATTCACAGGTGTTCTGTCCTGTGTAAGGTTTCTTACGTTTAACAAAGAGTGAATTCGCATGGAAAGCTTTCCTACATTCACTGTATTCAAAAGGCTGCTCCAAAATTTGAATTTTTTGATGCTGAACAGACTCTTCATTAAGACAGAGGCCATTCTTATTTTTATTATATTCATAAGACTTCTCTCCATAATGAATTCTTTCATGCTTGTCATCATGGAACCATTTTCTACTTTTGTTAAACTCAAACTTCTTTCTTGAATAGTTTCTGCTGCTGTTAATTAATTCTGAAATAGAGGGACAAGAAAGATTCATTCACAAGGATATTTAGAGGAAATAGTATTAGGTTTGGGGGAGCTGATCAGTTTAGGTCCTAATCTCTTCATGCCTAGAATATGACAAGTATATACATCCAACCTCATCTCTTTGTCAATTCTACCCAGGAGCAACAAACCCATATTCTAAAAGCCCTAATTCATAAAGGAACAGTACTAAAATCCAAGCTCCAGTTCTGTCTCTAGCTCTGATTCATGATGAATAAAAATATGCAACAAAAAAGCATGTCAGTGAGCCATTCTTGCCACAGGATCAGATTCACAGCTCTATTCTAGTTACATTGTGTGTGTGTGTGTGCATGCTCATGTGCACACTCAGTCATGTTCAACTCTTTGCAACCCCATGGACTGTAGCCCACCAGGCTCCTCTGTCCATGGAATTTTCTGCAAGAATACTGGAGCAGGTTGCCATTTCCTCCACCAGGGGATCTTTATGTTCTCTTTATTATAGTACCTCAGACTTACTGATCAGGGGACCTCTCCTGACCATCAAACCCTATTTCAATCCCTTCTGGCGTTCCCCCCAAATAAATCTCAATCCTGCTTTCACATACATGTTTCAACAACTCTGTATACCACGAAAATCATAAAATTCTAAACCTGGTCCTAAAAATTTCATTTACCTTTAACCTTATGATTTTTTTGGTTATGTGTACCTGTTTTTACTCCTCTGCTATCTATAATCCTCTATGAATGAATGATAGATAGTTGCTCAGTCATGATTGACTCTGCAACCCCATGGACTGTATGTAGCCTGCCAGGTTCCCCTGTCCATGGAATTCTACAGGCAAGATTACTGAAGTGGGTTGCCATTTCCTTCTCCAATAATGGTCTATATCCTTGAGTTTAACGACCTTAGTGACAATATATATCTAAAATTTTACTTTATGGTAATATAGCTGATTTACAGTGCTGTGTTAGTTTCTGGTATACAGGAAAGTGACTCAGTTCTACATATTCTTTTTCATATTCACTTCCATTGTAGTTTATTACAGCATACTGAATATAGGACCTTGTTATTTATTCTATATATAAATAGTTTCTATCTGCCAATTCAAAACTTCCAATGCATCCCTTCCCCATCCTTCTCTCCTTTGGCAGTCACAAGTATGTTCTCTGCGTCTGTTTCATAGATAAGCTCATTTGTGTCGTATTTTAGATTCTGCACAAAAGTGATATCATATGGTATTTGTCTTCCTGACTGACTTAGTATGAAAATCTCTAGGTCCATCCATATTCCTAAAAATGGTATTTTCCCTTTTTTCTGGCTGAGTAATATTTCATTGTATTATGTATCACATCTTCTTTATCCATTTCTCTGTTGATGGACATTCAGGTTACTTCCATGTCTTGACTATTATAAATATTGCTGCAGTCAACACTGGGGTACCTGTTTCATTTTTGAATTACAGTTTTCTCTGAATACATGCCCAGGAGTGGGATTGCTGGATCATAGGGTAAGTTCTATTTTTTAAGGAACCTCCATACTGTTCCCCATAGGGGCTGTATCAATTTATAGCTGCACCAACGGTGTAGGAGGGTTCCCCCTTCTCCACACCCTCTCCAGTACTTATTGTTTGTAAGCTTTTTGATGGTTGCCATTCTCAGTGGTGTGAGGTAACACCTCATTGTAGTTTTGCTTTGTATTTCTCTAATAATTAGCAATGTTGAGCATCTTTTCATGTGCCTATTGGCCATCTGGATATATTCCTTGGAGAGATATCTATTTAGCTCTTCTGCCAATTTTTTGTTGAGTTTGAGATGTTTGTATACTTTGGAAAGTAATTTTTTTTGGTTCTGAAGGGTTTAAGTATCATTGAGACAGTTTTTTAGCAATCATTTTACAAATGTAGAGTGAATATATTTTTCACTAGGTAAACCCAGCTGTTTATCCCCCATAAATTGCTTTTTCATCTACTGTCATCCACTCCTCACTGTTCCCCTAGTTCTGCCTTCTCTGTGTGTTCCAGCACACCCACCTTTAGATGTATGGAACTCCCTGGTGTCCTGGTGTGTTAGGCAGAGGGATTTGGTGGTTCAAAGATGTTTTACTGCTTGCAGGTTGAAGGCAAATAACAAATATCTCAACTATTACGAGAGTGACATCACTCAAAAGGGTAATTTTTAAAAAGAGCTTTGTGTTGTTTTGTGGATACTACATCAGACTGTATGGTATAAATCAATTTGGCCTAAAACCTACAGAAATTCATCCTGATCAGAGAAAGAAGTTTTTGTGGGTGAAAATTTATTGTTCATGCCTAGATAGAACAAGTTCCCATGATGGGACAATTTTTGCCTATGGGGGCATTAAAAGGCTTTAGGTTCTCAGGGAAGGTAGTATACAAAGGAGACCACATGACCAAGGTGGTCTTCAGATGGAGATACTTTGGGAGATGCCTTTTGGAAAAGTAATGTTGAGTTTGCTAAGGAGTTCCTGTTAAAATCTGTTGCCTGATCTATTAGAAGCTGATAATGGGTCTCTAGCTTATTGCACTTTTGGGTGGATCACTTGGAATCCACCAGACAACCTGTAAAAGAAAAAAAAAGACTTAAAGCATAATCCTATGTATGTGAAAGTTTGGCCTTAATTTGTCCTTTAAGTGTGAGCCCTCTGATGACAAGGATAATAATCAGAAATGTTCAAATATTTGTGCAAGCCCCTGATAGTGTAAGAAACCTCAGACATGTAGTCTGTAAGCAGTTTTCCTATAGTGTGGTTAGTCCATTAGAAAGAGGTGTGAAATATGAATTTAGCTGAAGAGATTCATGAGCCTACCTTAGCCTAGAAGGCATTTAAATCAGCTTCATCTGACTGGCCAAAGTTGTATGGATAGCAAATGTGCCACTGACTTCTTTATTGCAGTTCTACGCACAGTGTGGGCAAAATACTAATGTATCCTGCTTCACCTGGGTACAGATAGGCCAGGTAAAATCTTCATTGTTAAAGGCTAAAACAAAACAAGGAATGGCACATTACATAGAGAAACTGGCCAGAAGTCACCTATGGAGAAGTAAAATGAGTGGCACTGTGGGATTCTACAGAATATCATTTTACTTTGCTGCACAGTTATAACTTTGTGAATGAATGTTAACAAAACTTGGAACCTAAATTTTGGAGAGTAATTTATTACATATGGATAGAATGCTAGAGAGATTTATATTTCAGTGGGGGTGCTGAAACCTGGGACCCTGATGCAATCTTTGATATAGGCTGGGGACAGTGTTGTTTTTTTTCCCCCCTGAAGAAATCTGTATACCAAAAAGTTAAGAGAAAGAACCCCAAATCTTCTCTCTCTTCTCTTACAAGAGGAGAGGGAGTGCTACCTCTCCCTTCTACAGAACCATGCTCAGATTCATTGGTAGTGTTCTTCACCTGCAACACCAACTTTGTGTCTCTCTGTAGGACTCCTGGCTTCTCTCTCATTGCACCAAGAGAATAGGTACATCAGACCACATGGTTAGTAGTTCGTATTAAGTAAATATAATTCATTATCTATTCTGTTCCAGAAACTATATGTACTGTATTTATGATATTGACAAAAATAAATATTTACAATTTAACACTCTGAAAATCTCCACAACAACGACTTCAGACCCAAATGGCTTCCATGGTGAAATTTTCCAAACACCAAAGAAACATAAAAATCATGATGAAACAATGCTCTCTTGACTCATCTTACAAAAATGAGTGTATATGCAAATCAGAAAACAAACTTACGGTTACTCAAGGGGAGACTGAAGGGTGGAGGGACAAATTAGGGGTCTGATTTAAGAGATACAAACTGTTATGTATAAATTAGATAAGCAACAAGGATATACTGTATAGCACAGAGAATTATAAGCATAATAACTTATAATGGAGTATAATTTGCAAAAATATTGAATCACTATTTTGTTCACCTTGAAACTAATATTGTAAATCAACTAATTAAAAACTATAACATTATTTTTCAAAGATTGCAAAATTCAAAATAAACATAACAAGTGTGTTTCAAATATGTACCCCAATTATGTTTCAGTAATGGAATGGAGGGATAAGTTCTGGGTTAGTCATAATGGAACACTGCAAAGCAATAAATTACTGATACACGACATGTATGACAAACACAGTGCTGATCCAAAGAAGGCAGACACATTATATAATATATACATAGTGCACATATATTTACATATAGTACATACTGTATGACTACAGTTATCTGAAGTTAAAAACAGGCAAACTTGATCTATGCTAATAGAAGGGGGACCAATGTTACTTACTGGGAGGACACCACCAGGGGACCTTCTGGGGTGCTTAAAAAATTGTTTCATCTGTTCATCATGATTGATATATAGGCGTCTCTGTATAGAATATTTACTTGAATGCTTAAACATTTGCATTTAACTCATTATCTAATTTATACCTTAAAAGAGATACCACCATTTTGACACTGGGAAGATATGCATGATTCAATGACACTGGATACTTGAGCCATGTTAATGTGCATTCCAAAGGTCCAAAGCCACAAAAATATGATTCCTGAAGACCCTTTCAACGGTCTTAATCTCTGAACTTAACCCTCTGTGATCTTATTTTCTCCTAAACACCATGTGGCTTATACTCCCACTGACTCACTCACCTGGGACACTCTGCCTTGAGTACTCTTCCTCTAATATCCATGGCTCCTCTCCTTGCTCCAATTTGAGGATCACTTCTGGCTTAGGGATACAGTACCCTGTGAATGAGGATTATATGACTTGAAACAAATTGGATGAGTTTCAGGGCCTTTGAAGGAGCCTACAATGTACTTCAAAGAATATACAATTAAAGAAAGCTCATTTAATCCTATAATGGGGCAGAGGTGGCTTCCCTGGTGGCTCAGAAAGTAAAGAATCAACCTGCAATGTGGGAGACCCGGGTTTGATCCCTGGATTGAGATGATCTCCTGGAGAAGGGAATGGCAACCCATTCCAGTGTTCTTACCTGGAGAATTCCATGGACAGAGCCTGGGGGGGCTACAGTCTATGGGGTCACAAAGAATTGGATATGACTGCGTGGGCAGATGACAACACATTCTTTCTGGTACTCAAAAGGGATAAACTGTCCTTGGTCTCTAAATTCCAAACCTAAGTATTATTTTAGTCTACAAAAATTCCGCAAGTTTCTATAAGTAAGAAAGGACATGTACACTGGGAGTCTACAGGGGAAACAAGTGCTGCCTACCCACTGAGATGAGGTGGCTGTAGTTCTCCAGCATCACGTCCCTGTACAGCATCCTCTGAGCTGGGTCCAGGTGTTGCCACTCCTCCTGAGTGAAGCCCACAGTCACATCCCTGAATGACAATGATCCCTAGAAAACCACACTTTGGCTCAATCTCCAGGGGTGAGAATCAGGTGAATGATGTGGGGGAAGAAAAAGAGTTTTAGACTAATTCTTACCATTTTCCTGTAAAAATGTTAACAAAGGATCTTTACTATATAGCTTACACTTTGGTGTTAAAGTGTTTTTACACTTTGTGATTAAACAAAAGAAACCATGGTAGAGATACCATTGGCAAATTGGTTTATTACTTAATGGAAAAATACCCTCATGGCTTTATATGACTGAAACTGTCCTAGTTTTTGAGAATTTCAAGTTGACTAATTTAGTCTTCCTGGTCTCAAAGAACTTATTCTCATAAGGAAACATATCAAGACATAACTACCATATAACTTAAAGGATTCATATCACAAATACATGCAATGCAGACAGAGATCATAAAGGGATGCTATGCAAATTCATGTGAGTGTCAGCACCCTGGATTTCACTGAGCAGTAAAACTTCCAATGCTTATATATAAATAGTTTCTTTGCAAATATATGGCAAAACTGCTAGAAAAGAAAATGGGTAGCAAGACAATGGACTGCACAACAGGATAGGAGAGCAAGTCTGAAGCTGTGATGAGATGACAGCTGCAGAGGTGGGGGTGGGGGTGGGAAAGGTTTGGGGGCAGGAAACCAGGGAATATATTTGGCTTAAATTCTGTTCGTGATCTCCAGATATTTCATCACTCAACCTAATCCATACAATTCTTGAAGAACCATTAGTTTTCTCTATAAATTAAATATTATCAATTCACATACAAGAACTTAATTCTGTTCTTACTTTTCAGATAAAAATCTAAATAAACAAGCTAGTATTTTCTTCCTGTGTCCTAAAGGATAGACAGTATGTGACATACACACAGTTATCTTGCACACTCCCTTGGGGCACAGCCTCCCTCTCTCCCCCACCTCTACTCACCCCAGGTCATTGCTGTGAGTAGCAGGAAGCCAATGGTGAAATGGAAACACACAATTCAGTCCCACTTAAACTAACTGTTGCTGAGGAAGCAGTGACCCCAAAGGAGGGTGGAGACTGTGCTGGAGAGCACTGTTGGACCTGGATCGCCTACAGTAAGGGGGCAGCAGCAGCAGAGAGGCTAAACAGACAACTTGGTGAACAAAGGAGAGAGAAAGAGTTACTCTCAGAGGGTCTTCAAGATCTGTGTTAGAGGTTCTGGAAGCCTCTTGTCAAGTCTAGGGAAACAAAAGGAAGAGCAGGGTAGACGCACAGTTAAATGAAACAGATGCTAGACATACAGTACACCAAATAAACAGAACATGGAAGTGTAATAACAACTGGAAGGTTGCATAGATGATTCTAGAAAAGAGGAGAGAGCTCTAGTATGAAAAAAAAACTTGGGTGAAAATGGCAACTCCATGTCACTGGTGTTACCAGAGTGAATCAGATGGTCACAGAGGAGATAAGCAAAGAAAGAAATGCCAGCACAGAATATAAAGGAATACCAATACTTGAGTGGCTGATAGAAAAAAGAAAAACAGGCTATTAAAGCCAAGAAGAAATTTTTTGAAATGTTAAGAACAGGAAACTAGTACAGCCGCTATGGAGAACAGTGTGGAGATTCCTTAAAAAACTGGAAATAGAACTGCCATATGACCCAGCAATACCACTTCTGGGCATACACACCGAGGAAACCAGATCTGAAAGAGACACGTGCAACCCAATGTTCATTGCAGCACTGTTTATAATAGGACATGAAAGCAACCTAGATGTCCATCAGCAGACGAATGGATAAGAAAGCTGTGGTACATATACACTATGGAATATTACTCAGCTGTTAAAAAGAATTTATTTGAATCAGTTCTAATGAGATGGATGAAACTGGAGCCCATTATACAGAGTGAAGTAAGCCAGAAAGATAAAGACCATTACAGTATACTAACACATATATATGGAATTTAGAAAGATGGTAACGATAACCCTATATGCAAAACAGAAAAAGAGACACAGATGTACAGAACAGACTTTTGGACTCTGTGGGAGAAGGCGAGGGTGGGATGTTCTGAGAGAACAGCATTGAAACAAGTATACTATCAAGGGTGAAACAGATCACCAGCCCAGGTTGGATGCATGAGACAAGTGCTCAGGGCTGGTGCACTGGGAAGACCCAGAGGGATGGGATGGAGAGGGAGGTGGGAGGGGGGATCGGGATGGGGAACACATGTAAATCCATGGCTGATTCATGTCAATGTATGGCAAAAACCACTACAATATTATAAAGTAATTAGCCTCTAACTAATAAAAATAAATGAAGAAAAAAAGAAAAAAAGAAATGTAAGAACAGAACCAAATGACAGAATAGTAGGAAATAATAAGTAACAGTTTCACAAGTAACACAGTTTCACAAATAACTGACACTTCCAATTAAAGATGGCAGACTTAACACACATCTACTTCTGAAGACTCTGATGCCTCCAGCAATGTAAGTGGAAGAAGCAATAAAAATAAATGTGCAAATAACAGAATATACTGGAAGACAATTTTATTCAACTTCTAGATGATATGAGCAGATAATATGAGACAGAGAGAAACTACAAGTGTGATACCTACAATTTATATAAGCACAGACGTGGAAGCTTCCAACCACAGCCAGTGACCACCAAGCTCTAAGCCCTCCAACCAGGGCTAGGGGTCAGCATAGGGTAAGATGAATGGCAAAGTGACTGACAGCTGACTGCTAGGGCAGTCTCTCTTACTCTGTGGAGATTCAGCAGTTAACGAAGACCAAAGTTGAAGAGCAGCCATTCTATGAAGTTGGGACACTTAAAAAAAAGCTCTCTATATAGTTGGCCCTACATATGTACAGGCTGCACATCCACAGATTAAACCAACCATGAACTGAGAATATTTGGGGGAAAAAAACTAGAAAGTTCCAAAAGGCAAAACTGAATTTGTCACACAGCAGCAACTACTTACAACTACATACTATTTAAATAGTATTTACATCATATTTGGTATTATAAGTAATATAGAGACAATTTAAAGTATATGAGAGGATCTATCACAAAGGAGGCAAGAATATATAATGGCAGAATGACAGCTTCAATAAATCATGCTGGGGAAACTGGACTACATGCTCACACCATAAAAAGTTAAAACTCAAAATGGATTAAAGACTTAAATGTAAGACCTGAAACCATAAAACTTCTAGAAAACATAGGCAGGGGATTTCCTTGGTAGTCCAGTAGTTAGGACTCTGTGCTTCCACGACAGGGGGCCCGGGTTTAAACGCTGGTCAGGGAACTAAGATTCTGCAAGCCATGTACAAAAAAAAAAGCTAATAACCCCTGACCCCCCAAGACCTATAGGCAGTACTTTCTTTTTAACATTAGTCTTAGTAATGTTTTGGACATTCTACTCAAACAAGGGAAACAAAAGCAAAAACTACCAGGTAGGGACTAGGTCAGTCTAAAAAGCATTTGTACATTAAAGAAAACTATCAACAAAATGAAAAGGCAGCCTAATGAATGGGAAAAGACATTTGTAAATAATATATCCAATAAGGGGTTAATATCCAACGTGTATAAAGAACTCATACAGCTTGACATAAAAAACACACACACACACACACACACACACACACAGTTAAAAATGGGCAGGGACTTGAACAGACATTTTTCTGAAGAAAACATACAGATGGCCAGTAGAAACATAAAACAATTTCTGGCTACCAAGTGGCAGTGGTTGGGGAGGGAGGAATTAGATGAAGGTAAGTAAAATGTAAAAACTTTTAGTTATAAAATAAATAAGTACTATGGATTAAGTATAGCTGATTAAGATAATTTACACTGCTACATGTTATTAAATGAAAGTTGAGAGCAGACAATCCTGAGTTCTTATCAAAAGGAAAAAAAATTTTTTCCTATTCCTTTAGTGTTGTACCCATGAGATGATGGATATTCACTCAGCCTACTGTGGTAATCCTTTTATGATGTAAGTGAAATCATTATATTGTACACTTTAAACATACATGCTATATGTCAATCACACCTCAGTAAAACTGGGAAAAATTTAAAAGTACATGGCATGATGTGAGTAGGTTATATGCAAATATTACACCATTTTATGTATGAAATTGTGCATCTGCAGATTTTGATATCTTTGGGAGGAATCTAGAACCAACCCCCAGCAGATACCAAGGGATGAGCATATATGGACAACATGGACAACTCTGCCCAAAGTCAAGGTACCAAGTGGGTGCCAAGTGAAATAAACAATATAGAGAAAGAAAAATGTGATTTCACTTATATCTGGACTCCAAACAAATATATGAACAGATATAACCAAACAGAAACAGAAAAACCAACAGACTTTAGTGCTGTCATTTCAGGACACATCACCCTCCATTTCAGGAACTGAAGGGGGACCTCCTGCTTGCCTGCCTGGCCTGAAGGAAAGTCCTCTGTGTCTATCCCTAGCCATCACCTACAGAATCTTGTGGTAAGAAACATTCACATCCACATCCTTAACTATCCATTTACTTTGCCATAGTTACCAATGCTAATCAAACTAGGTCTTCATAGAGAAATATGAAAAGAAAATGAAGACTAATCAAACAAGTAGGGAGAACCAAAGCATTAAAAGTAAGTCATCAGAATGAACAGAATGATTGAAGAGTAAGGGAGGGGGGAGTACAAAAATAAGGGTAAGTAGTGAAATATTCTAAACAGAATCCTCAAAGAGGGACTTCTCTGGTGATCCAGTGATTAGGACTCAGTGCTTTCACTGCCGTGGCTGAGTTCAATCCCTGGTTAGGGAACTACTATCCCACAAGCTGTGCGGCATGGCCAAAAAAAAAAAAAAGATACTCAAAGATATTCAAAGAATATAGCTTCCACATAAAATGAGAACAGCTGTTTATAAGAATCCATCTGAGAGAAAAGAGAGTACCTGGAAATGTTCATATTTGCTTAAATTGTGGAAACATAAGATAAACGCTCTCAAAAGGCTACTAGAAAACGAACTTG